TCTACTACTGCTACGACTACCAAAACTACTACGACTACGCTTACAAGTACTACTACCACCACTACTACTACTACTACTACTACTACTACTACTACTACTACTACTACTACTACTACTACTACTACTATGACTGCTACTACTACTACTTCTACTACTGAAGCTGCTACTACTACTACTACTACTACTACTACTACTATTACTACTCGTGGACATATAACTGCTACGACCGATACTGCTACTACTACGACGACTACCACTACTAGTACTACGTCCACGAGTACAACGATTGCGTCTAATAATCCTATTACTACCACTACGACGGCTAGTACTACGACTTCTGCTACAACTAATGCTGCTGCTACTTCTACGATGACTACTACTACTACTACTACTACTACTACTACGACTACTACTACTACTACTACTACTACTACTACTACTACTACTACTACTACTACTACTACTACTACTACTACTACTACTACTGCTGCTACTACTACTACTACTACTACTACGATTGTGCTACGGCCACGGCTGCTACGGCTACGACAACGACGACTACTACGACTTCTACTACCACAACCATCACTAATAGTAGTAGTAGTAGTACTACTACTACTACTACTACTACTACAATTCCTACTACTACCAATGCGACTACTGCTGTTAATCGTATCACTACTACTGCTTCTACGGCGGCGGCGACGGCTACTACTACACACATGTTACGACCACGACTACGATTACGACGATTTCTACGACTACTACTACTACGGGGACTACGAATACGACTACGATTACGACTACCACTACTAATACGACTACTTCTTCTTCTACTACTACTACTACTACTACTACGACTACGACTACGACTACTACTGCTACTACTACTGCTACTACTGCTACTACTACTACTACTACTACTGCTACTACTACTACTACGACTCCCACTACTAGCATTGAAGCCAAGACTACGACTACGATTATTACTAATACTTCTTCTCCGACTGCAACTGGTACGAATACTACTGCTACTAAAAATAATACCACTACTACGATGACTACTTCTACTACTACTACTACCACTACTACGACTACTAGTACGACTACTACTACTACTACCACTACTACCACTACCACTACGACGAGTACCAGTATTACTACGACGACTACGACTACGGATACTAGGACTACCACTACGACTACTACTACTACTACTAAGACTACTACTACTACTACTACTACTACTACTACTACTACTAGTACTACTACTGCTACTACTACTACTACTACTACTACTACTACTACGACTACTTATACTACTACTCGTACTACTACGAATACTACGACTACTACTACTACTACTACTACTACTACTACTACGACTACTACTACGACTACTACTACTACTACTACTACGACGACTATTACGACTACGATTATTACCACTACTACTACTCCTGCTACTACTACTACTACTACTACTGCTACAACTAGTACTGCTAGTACTACTAGTACTGCTAGAACTACTACTAGTACTACTAGTACTACTACTACTACTACTACTACTACTACTAGCGACTACTACGAACACTACGACTTCTAGGACTACGACGCCTACGACTACTACTACTAGTAGTACGACTACTTCTACTACTACTACTACTACCACTACAACTACTACTACTACTACAACTACAACTACAACAACTACTACTACTACTACTACTACTACTACTACTCCGACTACTACGACTACCACTGCCCCTGAGACGACTTCTACGGTTTCTACTACTACTACTACGACTACTACTACACATACGGTTACTGCTATTACTACGTCTACTACTACTACTACTACTACTACTACTACTACTACTACTACTACTACTACTACTACTACTACTACTACTACTACCTACTACTACTACTACTACTACTACTACTACTACTACTACTACCACTACCACTACCACTACCACTACCACTACTACTACTACTACTACTACTACTACTACTACTACTACTACTACTGCTACTGCTACTGCTACTACTACTACTACTACTACTACTACTACTACTACTACTACTACTACTACTACTACTATGACTACTATTACCACTACTACTACGACTACGGCGACTGCTGCTACTACTACTACTACTACTACTACTACAACTACGACTACGACTACTACTACAACTACTACAAATACTACTACGACTCCTACTACTACCACTACGACTACATGGAGCCTGAAAGCAAACACATAATGTTGAGAACAAGGTATTAAAACATTCTAGGTTGTCGCGTAAACATCGCAGCCCCGAGGCGGAACACATAACAAAACAAAGAATTTGAACAACAAGACCTGGACCCGCGACGCGGCATGAAACAAAACAAGGGACGCCCTGGAACAGCAGGGGGGAGATCTGGGGGAAGATCTGTCGGGAGATCTGGGGAGCGTCCAATGGAACATGTGGCGCGGTTGCAAAGCGATGAATCTGGAGGAATACTTGGCGGAAGATCTGGGGTAGATCTGAGGGAACATCTCGGATATGATATTTGGCGGGAAGTCCGGAGGAAGATCTGGAGGGATATCTGAAGGAAGATCTGGTGGAACATCTGGGCGAAAATCTGGGAAATGTGTTGAGGGAGATTCGGTGGCGTAGTGCGTCGCAAATCTGCAGCAAGATCTGCGGGAAGATCTGAAGAAAGATCTGAGGGAGAAGATATGGGGAAACATCTGAGGGAAGACATGGGTGAAGATCAGATCTGGAGGACGGTCTGTGGGAAGATCTGGCGGAAGATCTGAATGAATATCTGGGTGAATATATTGGGGAAACATTGAAAAAGCTCTGCGGGAGAACATCGGGAAAAATCTGGGTGACGATTTGGAGGAAGATCTGGCAGACAATCGTTGGAAACATCAGGGGAGAGATTTGGGGAAAGATCTGGGAGAAAATATGGGACAATATCTGGTAGAACATCTAGGCGAAGATCTGGAGGACCATCTGGAAGATCTGGAGGAAAATCTGAGGGAGTATCTGGGAGAAGGGCTGGAGGAAGATCTGAAGGGGGATCTGGGGGAAGATCTGGGGGAAGATCTGGGGAAAGATCTGGGGGAAGATCTGGGGGAAGATCTGGGGGGAGATCTGGGGGAAGATCTGGGGGGAGATGTGGGGGAAGATCTGGGGGGGGATCTGGGGTAAGATCTGGGGAAAGATTTAGGCAAAGATCTGGGGAAATATCTGGGGGGAGATCTGGAGGAAAATCTGGGGGAAGATCAAGGGAAAGATCTGGGGGAAAAATTGGGGAAAGATCTGGAGGAACATCTTGGGAAAGATCTGGGGGAAGATCCCGGGAAAGATCTGGGGGAAAATGCTGGTGAAGAATCCGGGGGAAGATCTGGAAGAAAATCTGCTGGAAGACCTGGGGAAGATCTGGGGGAACTCTGGAAAAGGACGCGCGGGGAAGATCTGGAACCAGATCCGAAGAGCGATCGGGGGAAAGACGTGGAAAAGATCTGGCGGAAGATCTGAGGGATGACCTTGCGGAACCACACGCCCTGAAATTGCCCGAAACACCCCTTGCATTCCTCGAGGATGCCCAGCACCGGTCTGCCGAGCTACGGCGCTCTGGTTGCTCCAACGCCCTCTCCGAGGAGTCGCCAGACCTCGAGCTGCAGTCGCGCAGGCAGCAGACAGCTTGCCTCCGGAGATCCGTTTCGGATGGCCCCGGGGCCCGAAGACGGCCCTGAGAGGCCGAAAACGACTTGAAAAAAAACCCTCGAACCTCAAAGCTCGAATCTCCTCCTCCTCGGCCAAAATCCGCTCAAGATGGGCCCGCGGACCCCTCCCGGGGTCGCAGCGCGCCAGCTTTTCGCGCCCCCGAAAGCCAGAAAGCCTCGAGCCTCGATCCCCCAGATCTTCCCCCCAGATCTTGGGGGAAGATGTGGGGGAAGATCTGGGGAAGATCTGGGGGAAGATCTGGGGAAAGATCTGGGGGAAGATCTGGGGGAAGATCTGGGGGAAGATTTGGTGGGAGATTTGCGCGGCGATCTGGAAGAAAATCTGGGGGAAGACCTGGGGGGGAGATCTGGGGGAAGATCTGGGGGAAGATCTGGGCGAAGACATCTAAGCGAAGATCTGGGGGGAGATCTGGAGAAAGATCTGGAGGAAGATCTGAGGGGAAGATCTGGAGGAAGATGTGGAGGAAGATCTGGAGTAAGGTCTGGGGAAAGATCTGGGAGGAGATCTGGAGGAAGATCTAGGGGGAGATCTGGGGGGAGATCTGGGCGAGGATCTGAGAAAAGATCTGGGTGAAGATCTAGGAAGGGATTTGGGAAAAGATCTGGGTGAAGATCCAGGGGGTGATTTAGGGGAAAGGATAATCACGATCTGGAGAAAGACCTCAAGATCTGCGTGACGATCTCGGAGGAGATCTGGGTGAAGATCTGCAGAGAGATCAAAAGAAAAATCTGGGGGAAGATTTGGGTAAAGATCTAGAGGACAATCCGGAGGAACATCAGGGGGAAGATAACTGTGACCCTTTTATAAACAGGCTTCCGAATCTCACTCGCGCGATGACGGCAAGGAATGAAACCAAACAGCTAATGTATCAACTATGATTTCAGAGTAGGCCCGCGAGACTGAGCCCGGGTATGCTGTCCTAGTTGTTCCGTACTACTAGTACTAGTACTAGTACTAGTACTAGTACTAGTACTACTACTACTACTACTACTACTACTACTACTACTACTACTACTACTACTACTAC